GGGGGGGGGGGGGGGGAAACGACGTTGGGAAACGACGTTGGGGGACGACGTTATGGTGCTACGGTATGGATAGTGTTATGGTGGTGAAGGTTACATCAGTAGCGTAGTTGATTCTGGTACCGAAGTACTCGAAGAAGCCGAAGAGTAGTTCCGCTAGGGTCGGTTCACCGTTTGCGTTTTTGAAGGTCTCGCACAGCGATGCACTACGGTCCATCACATGTTGTTCTACGAACGTGGTGTCTCGTAGTTTCGCCATTGAAGGAAATTCTGAACGTTCAGATTCCCCTTTCCCATTCCAATGTCGCGTAATTTTTTCTTTCGCTCGAACTCTCTGTACATTCCACAGCATGTGAGGCGTGAGCGCCTTGCTTGCTGAGTTGTTCACCGGCGTGCTTTCGCCGTCGTCCTGTCGATCCGCATAGGGACGTGGACAGGATTGGAGCCTCATCATCCACAACAAGTGGCTTACGATGGGGGACTCCGAAGGCCATAACCCAGCCAGGTTAAGTCCCCCGGGCTGGGTCCCAGCACTAGACTGGGCCCCACCACCAAATTGGTGCGCTCCAGCAGTGTTGTTTCCGGTCGGGTTAGTCCCGGTCGGGTTAGTCCCGGTCGGGTTAGTTCCGGTCCCGATCCCGTCGGCCCCGATCCCGTCGGTCCCGATTCCGCCAGTTCCGATCCCGCCGGTTCCGATCCCGCCGGTTCCGATCCCGATCCCGCCGGTGGCAGGGTCGGTGGTGGCCACTTGGTTGGCGACCTGGTCGGAAATTGATTTCATGTCAAAGGGAGGCTGCAGCAGCGTGTAGGCGTACAGAAGGGGGTTCAGGGGTAACATTCGATTCTCCGGCCACTCGGAATGCTCGGCTTCGAGCAGCGCGTTGGTTCCAAAGTGGGGTTCATAGAACCAGACGTCGAGTTCCCCCTCCACTTCGCTTATTTTGAGAGGCCCGTTCGGCCCCGTCGTGCCCTGCGGCCGCGGATTTTGAATATTAGGCAGGATCGGCAGGTGCTTAGGGTGCGTTCCACACTGTGCGTGTCGGAACGCCGCCGTTAACATGCGCCATTCCTTCGTCGTCTCGTACCTGCCCGGCATGGGCATACAGCAGTAGTGTTGCAGAAACTGCACCACAATTAATGTCCATTGGTATCCAGACAAGAATCCACTGTACGCGTCTCTACAAAAATCGCACGTATCCGTTAGTCGGGACCATGGTGTGTGTGTATCCTCCACATGGGGTAGGGAGGGGCCGGG